AAAAAAAAAAATTAAAGTAAAATAAATAAAAATAAAATAAAATAAAATCATTTTTTGAAAGATTATTTTTGCCAACAATTTGATGTGAAATGAAATTGATTCCCCAAGTAAAACAAATGCAACAACGTTTATCGTTAGTAAGTTTAAAATTTCAAAATCTTATAATTGGTTTAGATCTAATTTCAATTTCAAATTTTTATTATTATCGCTATTTTAATTTCAAATGGCTATGAACATTTATTTTAGCATATTTTCTTTGTATATTGAAAATACATTTTCTAAAAGCGACTTTTGATTGCAAATTATCGCTATTTTTACAAACAATAGTCATTTAACAACCAGGGCAAAAGATTACATTACTAGGTTCTTATATCCCTTCGCAACTAGAGTTTTCCTTTTTATCACTCTGAAAAAATGTTTGGGAACCTAAATTTGTAAAAAGATTTTTTTATTATTATTATACTGCTTTATGTGTACTATGTTCTATTATATTATAATTGAAGTAAAAAGAAAAACAAAAGGGAAACGTAATTAATAACTTGGTGGTCTTTTTTTTGTTTGCTCTAAAGTATTAACTAAACATGTATCTTTTGATTAGAAAAAATTAATGAAACAAAACTCTGAAAATAATTTAAGAAAGAATGTGCATATTTTTAAAAATAACACTCTGGCATAAGTTTATAAAACATCCACAAATATTTTATTTGCAATTTTCGCGAACTTTTTAATGGCAGCAATCGGTGCTGATATATCTGCTTACACTTTCTATATTCGATGATCAAATATATGGAAAATTAGATGTAGTTGAAAAAAGAAAACGATTATTTAGATTTCATAAATATGGAAAATTAGATATAGTTGGAGAAAAAAAAAGGTTATTTAGATTTTTGCACTTAATTTAAATCTGTTTTCTGAACAGAAATATTCTTAAAAAATTTAAAATGAATGAAAGTTATCACAATATAAAATCAATAACTTTAAAATTTGTCATTGGAGAAAGGTAAATAAAACTGAAGATATTTACCTTTCTCGAAATGACAACCACATGGCTCATGTGCAGGCATTCTTGTCTAAGGCCTTGTCATAATTTATTTCATAAAATTAATTTAAGCTGCTATTATGTAATTATTACACTTTTATTTTATTTCTAACATTTATGCTTATCGTGGCAATAGCATTTAAAAATAAAGCAAGACTCCTTATCTAGTGCAGGTGTTCCAAATTTTTTCACGGCTATGAAATCCGAACAGATCGACCTTCTTTCGATCGCTACCGCGATTTTAAAAACGAAATATGTAAAGGCAAATGTGCGCGTATAAACTAATAAAAGACTATTTTATTGTGAAAAAAAAATAAATAAAAGAGGAAAAGAATATTGTGAAATTTTTTTTAATCTTTTTATCATAAGTAGTTTTAATGTAGGTTTTTATGTCTAGTTAGGAATTTGTTTTTGAGGTAGATAAATAAGATAAAAATGACTAATGTAAGTCAAATTGTGATTTTTGTTGAAATGGAAATTTAAACGAAAAGAGCTTGAAATTTTTGTAAATGCATGTCGTTTTCATAATTTATTCTATACATTGCATTACATATATGTATATATGTAATACAACATTCTTTCTATTACATATATACATAAATGTAATAGAAAGAAATTTCGCTGAACACGTTCATGTAGAAAGATCTGAAAAAATAGATCCCGAGCGGAATAAGAGATGGCGCTGCTAATAAAGTTAGGAGAGAATTTCTATTCGCATTTACCGTGTGGCAGAAAGCTAGATGACAGTCAGCGAATGTTGATGTTTCGGATCGGTTTAAATGGAATGCGAAATCCTGCAAGTTGTCGTAGCATGTGCGCGTGTTTTGTTCCATTCCTTGGATATCTTTAATTTGTGCATATAATATAGGACTATGCATAGACCAGAGACGACAGCCCTCGATCTTAGGGCTGATGGTAAGTTGAAAAATATTATGCTCATTTTAGTAAATATATTTTTTTATAATAAATTAACGAATGTAGCGCTGTTGATTCAGCTGTACTGGGAGTAAAATATCGCCAAAACGGCGACGGCCTTGGCAAGCTTTTTGAAGCAAGGTCACGGCGAATTTACGTCATTCATTAGAAATGATGCTACTTGTTTCAGTGCCAATCAGTTATGGGATGTTTGCTGCAAAAACTGATTCCTAGTTTCATTTTAAATTATGACGCATTGATTTTTATTTAGTTTATTCGGAATTCTTTGCTGGTTTTCCCCCTGCTGTTCGCCGAAAAGCAAGGGAATTTATTAAGGTTGCATTTAAAACAGAAATTAATAAATATTTAGTAAATGTAAGGAAGATATTTTAATGTGGGCTTCCGATGTTTTTACCAATTTTTCTTTAAAAAAAAAAACACTCTAAAATTGCGTTTATTTGATTCAATTCCAATTGTACTTTTTTTATAATAGGAATAAACAGGGCTCTGAGAATTGGAAAAAGTTTTGGTAGCCAGCAAAAATTTCTGGTAACCATTAAAAATATTAATTTACCTCGTTTCTAGTTTTTTTTTATTTTTTTAATTTAGAAATTTTGTTGTATACATCTATGCGCAAAATATTTACGTTTGGAATGCGTATGACAACACAATGAAAAATGCTAAATTTCGTAAAAGAAATTTCAAAATAATAAAAATTTTTGAATTTCTAATTACGTGTAATTAATAAGGTTTAATATAGCGTTTTTTTTAAACATTTTTTATTTTTATTTTACGCAAATTATTAAATTGGACTTTGTCAGAACATTCTGACTTCGAAGAACACGAAAAATTTCAAAGAAAAATTCCGAAATAACGAGCTTTGCACATAAGTTTCGCGATTGCTTTAGGCATTAACAGATGTTTATTTTTATTTAGCTGAAATAAAATTGAATCGAAAGCGTTTTTCTGTTGTTTTTTTCTAATGAGACATTAATACGTCACAGAAATTTCGAATCGCGCATTTCAGTGATCATTGTTTGCTAAGCTAGAGTTTGCGCCGATGTCATTGTAAATTCGTGCGGTTTTTCAACAATTTTCATTACAGATTCTACATAGTTTTCAGAAATACCAATATTTTTGATAGAAAATTATTAAAAGGGAATTTCGTATCGCACATATGAATAACAATTCTTTGTTGCACCGTTTTTATCGTGAATTCACAATGTTTTTCGAACCACTTTTTCTGTTTTTCTTTCGAATCATTTTTTTGTAAATTAGAAATCCAGATATTTTGAACTATTACTTCTCATTAACTATTACTTCTATTGACTCTATTACTTCTCATGAATCTCGTATCGCACATTTGATTAGCAACGTTTTGACGTATGCGTTCGATTTGCATTTTTTTTCTCCTGTTGTTATACTTCAGGATTTTTGAATAATTTAAAAAAATTCTGATCGGTATAAAACGAAACGATGACGAATCGTGATTCTCGAATCGTGTAATGAAGAATGCACAACTGTACAAAGATAAGGAATAATAATTTTAGTCTGTTGGAGGTAGGAGTTTCTTTCTATTTCATGGAAGATTTTTTTCGCCTCTAATTGTTGAAGACACGGGTAAGAACAATGAAGGGGATTCGTTTAAGCTATATTCTCTGACTTATTATTTTTTTTTTATAAATATTAAAATATTAATAAAAATATCAGATCATAATTAAAGAGCCGTGGTGGCTCAGGGGATAGACTGTTCGCCTTCCGATGAGGTAGGTGAACGGGGTTCGAATAGCCGTAATTGGCTGGTGGATACGAATTCCGCAACCGGCTCGCACCGACCACAGTGCTGTTGTGAAATATTCTCAGTGGTAGACGGATCATGGGTTGGATTCCCATTGCCGTTAGGCTAACAGGTTTTCGAGGTTTTCCTCTCCATGTAGCGCAAATGCGGATTAGTACCATCTAAAGAAAGTTCACAGCGAAGACAAATTTCAACCGGAGTTCCCTTGTCTTCTTGATAAGGTTCAAAATTACAAGACTGCGGATCTGTGTCGGGATAGCCTGGTTGGTAGAGCGCAGGTCGTAAGTCGCAGGTCTGGTTGGAAGTCGTGAGTTCGATCCCCGCCGGTTAAAGATTCTCCGTGTAGTTAATGGTGACTGATGCACGTTAAATCTGACTAGTCACAAAGTCCTCCATGTTCCTATAACAAATCATACCTCTGGGGATACTGATCCAGGAGTTTCCTTGTCTTCTGAATTGGTTCGAAATTACAAGACTACGGAGTTGAACATTTGTAGTCGTAAACTCAAATTTGGGTCTGCTGTTCAATTACTGTTATATAGGTCATTATTAAAAGGCTAAAAATATAGGTGCCACTAAAAATTTATTGGTTGCCAATGACAATCGTATTGCCCGCACCTTGTGAATATGCGTATTTATAAATATGTATATTTATTGAAATTTGACGTCAAACTATATTTAATATACGTCAAACTTCAATTTTAAGCAATTCTAAAATAACAATTTAACCATGACAACGTTATTTGTAAAATAAAAACATCCTTTGCAAAGGGTAAAATTATTTCCATGATTTTTTTTTATCCTTGAGTAAAATGTTTTTATGCTTATTCATAAGAGGAAAAAATATCATTCTACCCAAATGCCAGGATTCCGAAAAATCTTTTTTACAGTCAAAACGATTTTTTTTTATTATTGAATGCGTCATTTTCTTCACTTAAAAACCAAGTCTTGCTTTCTAACTACAGCTTTACACATGTACTTAAATTTAGCTTTAACATTTAAGTACACCCTACTGAAATGTAACCATATCTTATTTTTGGCAATAATTTTTTGTTAAAAAATCGTTACTTTGGTTACTTGGAATTTTTTTTAATTATTCACATTTATTGAGAAGGAATTACGATATATAATGAAATGTTTTTTTAAATTATTTTTATAACTAATTTAGTTATAATTCGTTAAGTAAAGGAGTCATTGTAAATTGAACATTATGCGTTTTATAATTAAATAGCGTAGTGGTAAAATTTTATTGAATTTAAGAAAATTCAGCTCATTAACTTTATACAGGTAAATTGAAGTTCGATACTTTGTATGACCTGCCACAAATTGTTTTTAAATGTGAAAATATTAAAATTTTTTCTTTGCTTTAAGTATCGATTAAAATCATTTTAAAGATTAAAAACGAGAAAAATAATTTTTATTAAATATTTATTATTATTTTATTTAATAATGGTCGAAAACATTTTGAATTGTAAGGTATAAAATTTTTTGCATCATTTTAAGGAATATAAATTCACATGATAAAATACAAAATTTGAGCAAAATCGGTCGAATAGTTCTTGAGAGATCGAATTTTAAATATCTGACTTTTTTGAAATTTAATTTCTCACGAACCATTCAACCGATTTCGCGCAAATTTTATATTTTGCCATGTAAAATTATTTCTTTTTAAATGATGCAAAGAATTGTATACCTTACTATTCAAAAATTTTTCGACCTGTATTAAACATAATTATGAAAAATAATAAATATTTACGAACAATTATTAATATTATTATTATTTTTTTTTGCATTACCTTTGGATATGCGAATTTTATTATTGTGTGCAAATTTTTTTCATTTCGCTTGAAAAGTTCTCAAGATATAGCGAAATACGCCAAAAGTTAAATTAACATTAAGGGGGTCCGCTCTCCTGACTAAACTATGGAGACTACTACAAACTGTTTTTAAATGTGAAAATGTTAAAAATTTTTTGGCTATTTTAAATATCGTTTTAAAACATTTTAAAGATTATAAACGAGATTTTAAAAATTAGAAAACAGATTTATTGTGAGAGATGTACACGGACTGTAGCGGTATGCATAGAATTTTTCAAGCAGAACTCTTTAATTTTTCATGCATTTTATGAATCGGACATGACCGATCTTAGAACGCTCTTTTTCTTTTCACTAGAACTTTTTCTTCTAATCTAATATGCTCCATTCTTCCAAAGCTGAGATCGTCCAAAAAATTTCAAATTCTCTCTTTCAGAAAACTAAAAAAATACAACTAAAATATATTTTTATTATTAAAGTACAATTTTTAATTTTTTTTTCTCAACGCTATGAAAAATTATAATTATCTATTATTTATGAGAATTATTATTATTTCTATAATTATTAATATTAATTATTTTTTGAGAATTCATTTTTAGAAGACTTAACACTAGAGTAAGACAATCGCCTTAAGGTGCGTGTTATACTTAAGTTATATCAAAACAAAGAAAAAAAAATTAAAAAACAAACCCACCACCAAAAAAATATTATTACTACTATTTTGTAAAATTTAATCGAACTATTTGTTAATTTGTACTTCTGAGGATGTGATTTGCTGATATTTTTGCTTAAAATATATTATATCTTGCACCAAAAAAGTGTTAATAATATCCCTGCTGCAGTATTAAAGGATATATTTTCTATGTATTAAAAGTACCCCTTCTAACTGATTTTCAGTCATAAAAAGTAAAAAATATTTAAAAAAAAAATTTATATAAAAAAATTTATTTTTAAAAAAATGTATCTGAGCTTCGTAAAATAGCTGTGCTGTCTAGCCTGTGGTATAGAGGGCAAATTTAGGAAATTTTGAGGCCAGCGATCAGTTGTAGCATTTTTAACGGGGACAACTTTAACATGTGACCAGTTTTTAAAAATCAATGCAATGAAGCATTTTTCAAAATATGATCGATATTGCAATGTTTATCTCTAACTGTACTTATTAAATTTTAGTAAATAATTATAAGTACAGATAAAATGCGCTTCGGGTGCATTTTATTGGTATTCATTAAATGATAATAAAATGCACATCAATAATAAGTTGTNTAATTACAATTTTACAGTGTTAAAATCTTGTATGTCTTTACAATTTAAAAGCTCCTTGAAAAAGTTTTTTTTTTTTGCAATAACGGACCCTATTTGCACAAATTCATAAAAGCGGACCCTGGTTG